GTGTGTCTTATACACCGAAAATTAAACAAGTAAGTATAATTTAGTGTTAATTTTCATGCTAATATTTAGCTGAGTTGTGTCCAGTATTTTTAAAGAAAAAATGCTTTATTTTCAAATCTGACAGCCTAAAAACAGTTAAAATTATTGTTCTATTCAAAATTAGTATTTACCCTTAAAAATATATAATGCTGAAATGGTCTCTTAACTGATAAAATAAATAAACCATCAAAAGGTAATAATGCTTGGAGACGGCTTGAATGGGTAATGAAGAAAAACTTTAATATAAGTTTAACATAACAGCAAATGTATAATGTTTCGACAAGGTTTTGTCATCAAAAGCTAATGGTCTTAACATTGTAGTATGATGTTTTGATAATGTGTAGTTGGATGAATTAATAAACAACATGATAGGGTAAACATGTTTGTAAGAAGCTTCTTGTCATAGCATCTAACTAATCTTTTAAAACTATTAATTGGTTTTTCTGAGTTTCATGTTAAGAATTCTGAACATATGGCCTCGCAGAGTTTGCCTATTTGTAACCATGATTTGATTTTCTCTCATAATGTCATTAATAGTGCTCAAAATTAATACATCAAGTGCATTAATCAGGACAACACCATGGCAAAGGCTGTGGTTCGTTCTGAAGAGATTCTTCTATATACAGACACACTTAATACACCAGGCAAGTGTCCTCATCAAGGTGAAAAAGTGAAAACCTTACATTAGGATTTTTGTATTGATTAAATACTTTTGCTGAAATTATAAAATTAGAGGCACCTTTCCAAGTTAGACCTCAGGCATCAGCATTGTCATGACATGTTCCACCCTTACACAATTCAACTTCCACAGCAAGTCAAAACTTGTACTTTTTAATGCTAGCAAAATTCAGTTAAATAGTCTTAACAGCTGTTTACAAGCATTAATATCTCTTATTCTTCGAATAACATACAACTGAACTTATCTTTTCTGCTTACTCCTTATAAAGTAGTATCTAAAGCAAGTTGAAGTACTGTAGTGCATCAGGAACATCATAAACATATGTTGTTCTACATACTTCATGGATATTAACTCTAAATTATACTTACTTGTTTAAGTGCATAAGGAACATCATAAATATGTTGTTCCACATACTTCATAGATATTAACTCTAAATTATACTTACTTGTTTAAGTGCATAAGGAACATCATAAATATGTTGTTCCACATACTTCATAGATATTAACTCTAAATTATACTTACTTGTTTAAGTGCATAAGG